GGCTCAAAAGGGAAGGTCGAGCGCGCCTGGTCAGTGCCGCGTCGCCCGCCAGCTGGCCTTCTTCCTTCTGCTGTGGGACATCCAGCTCTGTCTGCGATGGGTGCCCAGCGAGAGGAACGTGGCTGACGGGCCGTCCCGCCGCGGGTTGCGGCATGCTGGTGCGGCGACCGCTGAAGGCAAGTTCCGCCGTGGCTGGGGCAGCGCGCGAGGAGAGAGTGCTCTCTCGGAGTGGCGACGCCGGGCGCTTCCTGGCCCGCCAGGCGCCGGCCCCGTCGGAGCTGCAGCCAGGCGCGGCCCGCCCCCCCCCCCAGCGGGAGGGTTGGCATTGGCCGTGCCGGCGGCGGCGCCAGCCGAGGATCCTCGCCTGCCGCGACGGCGCCTGGCCCCTGCAGCAGCGCCAGAGCATGTGCGTCGGCGAGTTCGGCGACGGCAGGATGCTCACGGTGCTGTGCGGGCCTTGCCGGGTCGGACGGTGCTGGAGACGGTCGTGGTGCGAGCGCCGACGAGGCGATCGTACCTCCGTCGGCTTGCGGGGCTGGCGCGGCGGTCGGGGATGGTGATCGCACAGAACGTGACGGGCGCGGAGCTGGACCGGGCGCAGGATCGCATCATCCGCTTCCTCGGCCAGATGAGCGTGGTGAGCCTGGACGCGGCGGTGGCGGAGCACCTCAACGAGGAGTTCTTCGAGGGCACGACGGGGGGCGAGGGCGGCCGGTTGCTGGCGGCGCTGTCCTGGGCCTTCGCCTCCGTGGGCAAGCAGGTGCGCAACCTCCCTCGGGCACGGACATGCTCCGCGGCGTTGCGCCGACTTGCTCCGGGCGAGTCGAGGTTGCCAGTGCCCGAGAGCCTTCTGTTTGTGGTAGCGAACGAGCTGATCGCGCAGGGGAAGTTGCAGCAGGGCGTAGCGGTCTTGGTGGCACACCACTGCTACCTTCGCCCCGGCGAGCTGTCCCGCACCACGTGGGGGATGATCCACCCGCCAGTCAGTGCGAGTGGGCCAGGGGCCACAGTCACCCTCGTGCTGCATCCCTTCGAGCTCGGCGCGAGCTCCAAGGTGGGGGAGTTCGACGAGACGGTGAAGGTGGACTGGCAACTTCTTGCGACGGCGCTCCTTCGGCTTCGACGGATCCGCCCAGCAAACGAGTGCCTGGCAGCGATCAGGTCGGTGGCCCTTGGCGAGAGCGTGGCGCAGATCATCCGCGGGTTCAGCGCCGACTTCCTGGCAGGTCGCAGGACGATCGCGGAGATCAAGCATCGCGGCAGGTGGTCATCAGACAGCAGTGTGAGAAGATATCAAAAGGGAGGCCGTATCAACGAGCTCCGAAGTCGGCGTTCTACCCAGATGAAAGAATTCGCCGCCAGGTGTTTGGAGGCTGTGCCGAGGATCCTGCAGAGTGCGGCCGCGCCGCTGCAGGCTCCAGCGGGCCTACGCGTACGTTGATCGTGCCCTTCTGTTTAGAGATCTTTGCAGGCACGGCTCGCGTGTCCAGGGAGATGTCACGGCTCGGCTTCCCGGCGATCACTATCGACACTCGGTTCGGCGCGAGGCATGATATGTGTAAGAGATCCCTGGTGAAGGCTATTAGAGGCTGGATCATGTCAGGTTTCGTCATAGGCATTCACTTCGGCGCGCCGTGTATTTCATGGTCTCGTGCTCGTACCAGGCCCAATGGCCCTCAGCCACTAAGAAGCGGTGAACACATTCTTGGGCTGCCCGTTTTGCGAAACGAGGGGGGGCGCTGGAAGATAGATATGGGAAACACTACAATGAAAAATACTGTGAGCATCGCGTCAGTGGCGTCTCTGCACATGGTCCCGTTCTGTATCGAGAACCCTTACTTATCCTTTATTTGGGAGGCACCTCAGATGCTGCATTTACGACGACGTCGAACTACACGGGAAATTCGAACTGATTTCTGTCAATGGGGAGTCCCTTGGATGAAGTCGACTAGGTTAGTCTGTAGTTATTTGCCTGTTGAATCCTTGGGCCGTAGGTGTAAACTCTGCAGGGGAAGGTGTTCCAGAACTAACAAACCACATGTGTCTTTAACGGGCAAGAACAGTAATGGAATATTTAGAACCCGCGTGGCCGAGGAATCTCCAAAGTGTTTTTTCCCCGGCCCTGGCCAATGCTTTCGCTAACGGTTTTAAGAGCTTGAAGGCCACCTCTTTTTTCTTCAGTTTTGTAGTGAGTGTGTATCCAGGGAGAAGTCCCACCACCACCCCTTCTCCTCCATGATAGAACGGTTTGCACGTGTGGAGCGGAGCTGCGCTTCAGAATTCTGTGATGTTGTCGAGCAGCACCCTGAAAAAGGTGCTGGTGCACAGCGCTTGAGATCAGTACAACTGTCTGCGCTGCCCGTGATGTAGAAAGGTCTGGCTGCCGCTGCTCGTGCTCCCTCGGGTCTCGGCGGCTCTCTCAAAGCAGGCAGGTGTCTCACGCGCCCCGAAGGCAGATGCTACTAGTGCGCGCACGTCTTGCGTCAGCCGAGGTTGCTCTCCGCAGCGTGTGTTGCTCCCGCCCACCTCCCTTGTCACACTTTTACTTCTTTTCCTTGCGGAGCGGAGCTGCGCTTCAGAATTCTGTGATGTTGTCGAGCAGCACCCTGGAAAGGTGCTGGTGCACAGCGCTTGAGATCAGTACAACTGTCTGCGCTGCCCGTGATGTAAAAAGGTCTGGCTGCCGCTGCTCGTGCTCCCTCGGGTCTCGGCGGCTCTCTCAAAGCAGGCAGGTGTCTCACACGCCCCGAAGGCAGATGCTTATGTTGATAATGATGATGATGCTGATAATGATGACGGTGATGATGGTTATGATGACGATGCTGCTGATGATGCTGATTATGATGATTATGCTGATGATGCTGATGATGCTGATGATGCTGATGATGCAAATGATAATGATGAAGATGCTGATGATGACGATGATGATGGTGATGGTGATGATGCTGATGATGATGAGGATGATGATGATGATGATGATGAAGGTGGTGATGATGTTGATGATGATGAGGCTGCTGCTGATGATGATGCTGATGATGATGCTGATGATGATGATGATGATGATGATGTTGCTGCTGATGATGAATGATGATGATGACGATGATGATGGTGATGATGATGATGATGAGGAGGAGGAGGAGGAGGATCAGGAGGAGGATCAGGAGGAGGAGGGGGAAGAGGAGGAAAACGAGGAGGAGAAGGAGGAGGAGGAGGAGGAGGAGAGGAGGATGAGAGGGATGATCAGGATGCGGAGCAGGAGGATCAGGATGCGGAGGAGGAGGAGGAGAGAGGAGGAGGAGGAGGAGGAGGAGGAGGAGGAGGAGGAAAAGGAGGAGGAGGGAGGAGCAGGAGCAGGAATTGGAGGAGGAAGGGAGGAGGAGGAGGAGGAGGGAGGAGAGGAGGAGGAGAGGAGGAGGAGGAGGAGGAGGAGGAGGAGGAGGAGGAGGAGGAGGTGGGCCTTTTGGAGGCCTTTTAAAGGCTTTTTGGACGCCTCTTTGGGCCTCTTGGGAGCGTTTGGGGGCTTCTTGGGGGCCTCTTGGACCATCTTAGGGCGTTCCCAGCCCGTCTGACGCTGTCGGAAGCTGTCTTGTATGCCTCTCTGAACCGACTTGGGGCTCTCTTGGGGCGCTTCAGGGCCGTCTTGGCCGCCATCTTGGGGTCTTGGAGGCTTCTTGGGCTGTCTTGAGGCCTCTTGAGGCCTTCTTGGAGGCTTCTTGGGGCGTCACGGGGTCATCTTGGAGGCTTTTCGTGCCGTCATGGGGCGATCTTGGGGGGGCTTTCAGGCCATCTTGGGCCGTCGGAAGGCCGAAAAGAAGCAAATGCCAAAATCCTTCAACCACTTAAGGCGCATGCATGATTTTGGCTTCTTCCAGCCCTCCTGGAGGACCTCTTGGAGGCCTCTTGAGCTGTCTTGGAGGCCTCTTGGAGGCCCTCGGTCCATCTTGGGCCGTCTGGGTGACTTCTTGGGCGGACTTGGAGACATCTGGGGCCCTATTGTGCCGTCTTGGAGGCCATCTTGGACCATCTTGCGCGAATTTGGAGGCTATCTCGGGCCATCTTGGCTGTCTTGGAGGCCATCTAGGCCGTCTTGAAGACTTTTTTTGTGCAGCTCAGCAGCCTTCCGGGTGGCCAGCGCGCTGAGCCGAAGCCCCAGCGGGAGTGCTAAAACACCGAACACCTCAGGACATCTAGCACGGTAAGCACCCCTTTGGTAAGCCAACCTGGGGCGGCGGTTCGACTGGCCTTCGGCCATCCCGCCACCGTGCGTCTTGGGGGCCTCTTGGGGCCCTCTTGGCCCGTCTTGGGGCCCTCTTGGCCCCCGAAGAGTCGTGCGAGAAGATGCCGGGAATCCTCAGGGGGGCACGCGCCGAGCCCCAGCAGATTTGGCCAGTCGGTTTCTGGGCCCTTTCAGGACTGCTCAGGAGTGCCCTTGGGGTTCGGCAAAGGACCTGAGGGCACGTCCGCTCCGTGCCCAGCGTCACGGTGACGGGTATAACGCATACAGTGATATACCATGGTCCAGCAGACCAGCGTATGGTATAGATAGCTTGTTTAAGACCTCACGTGAACCTCTCATTGGGTTCGTAAAGCCTTCAGGTTGATAGCTCAGAATGCGTGGGGCCCCTTGGGGCCTCTCGTCTGGTTCCTAGGGCCTTTGGAATCTTGGGTAGTCTTGGATGCATCCAGACCGTGTTGGTGGGCCTTTCCGTCGCCCGCTTGGGCAGTAAGGGCGGGATCTTAGTTCCCGCTTGGATCGACCAGGAGGGGCACAGGAGTTCCACCTCCCCTCCAAAACCCGAGACTTTGGATCCAGGGGAAGGTCTTGTTGGAAGGGTCGGTGAACAGTTGCTAATGTCAGCCACGATATCAGCTGCCATCCCCGCCCTCCCCTCCAGTTGTCTCCAGTGTCGCAATCGTTTCCAAGGCCGTTGGGGCCGAGGGCAGCGACTCTGCCGAGGTCAGTTGTTGGCAAGCGTGGACAAGCCCAGCAAATTCGCGCTATGTTCGGGCTTGCTACTCGCATGCTCCTGCTGTCAGTTGCCGGCGGCACAACGTACTGGACAGTTGACGATGCAGTCGAGAAGAAGGCCGCAGACATCAAGACCTTGCAGGCACTGGATCCTGAGCTCGAGGAGATCAGCAAATCCTCGAGCGTCGCCGACGAGCATCTCAAAGGGAACCAATCGATTTTAGAGATGGTCCAAAGCGATCTCGACGAAGTCAAGAAAGCAAACCAAAAGTCACTCATCCATTTGAAGGAGCAGAATGCGAATGTAGAGCAGGCGATCAAGGAAATTGACGCTGTGAAAGAGAAGTTGCAGAAGAGCGTTGCGAAGGCCCGGGAGGCTTCCGCGCACGAGAAGAAAGCCAAGAAAGATCTCGAAGCTTCGGAACGGGCTGCCAACGCCAGGACAGCCGAGATGCAGAAGGCAAGCGAAGCTTACGCGAATGCGGAGGCTCATCTCGAAGCCGTTATTACGGGGGAAGACCCTAACGAGATCCCGTCAGCGTACGACGACAAGAAGGACAAGAAGAAGAGGCTCGAAGCTGCGCAGGCTGAACTAAAAGAAGCAGAGAAAAGCAAGGCTGACAACTCAAAGGCTGTGAGCGAGGCAGTGACACAGATGGAGAAACGGAGGTTCGAGCAGCAGGTTGAGCAGAAGGCTTTCGATGATGCCAGTGCCTCGCTTAGACACGCAGAGAAGGCGCGGAAGAAGCTGAGTGACAACAGCCGTCCCGAACAGCTCAATGTCCAGTCTCTGTCACAGGCGTTGGAGGTCCTCAAAAGATCAGTCGATCACCTGACGTCCGAAAGCAACGAACTGAAGAGGATCCTTAGGCAGAAGCAGCGCCAGCACGACGCGCTCCAGAGAACGATCACGGACGACTCTCACTGCATCGAGAGCCTCCGGAGTGCTCAAGGGCAGGTGCAACATGCGGCGAACGTCTACAACGCCACAAGCCACGCTTACTCCGTGTCGCAAAGCGACGATCTCCTCGAAGCGGTCTGGGGGGCCAAGGACGAGCTGGACAGTCCGAAGGCCTCTGGTCACCGCCCGACTGCCCATTCCCATTCAACGCCCAGCTACCAATCGTGGTTCGGCTGCTCGTGCGCACCGAGCGGTGTCGTGCCGTGCCTGTCCATGCAGTGAGCCAGAGGGGGCCAAGTAGTGATCCGATTGCCCGCGCGTGCCGTGCCATACTGTGGGTCAGAAGGATGCGCTTTTCGGTTCGGCTTCCCGCGCGTGCCGTGCCGTGATCTGTCGTGTCAATGGGGTCCAATTCGTTTGGTTGTCTGCACGTGTCGTTCTTTGCCGTGCCGTTCCGCGGCGTTGACCAGAGGTGTCCAGTCTGTGATTCGGTTGTGCGCGCGTGCCGTGTTGAACCGTTCCACGCCAGGGCTGGGATTCATCTCGATCTCAGACCGACTGGGAATGGAAAGTTGCCCAGGCAGCGCTCTCATTTTTGATATCAAATCTGTGGACAACAGAACTGATTCAGTCTGGCGGGTCTGGCTGCGGGTGTTTTGCCTCCGATGGCGTGGCCTCCTATGTCGTGGCTTTCTACAGTATCGCTGGTTCTGTCTGTCGGGTCGGGCTGTAGGTGCTTGGCCGTCTATGGCCTAGTATGGCGAGGCCGTCGGCGAGGCCTACTTTGGCCTATTCCTTTCTGGTGGAGTGCGCCGTGGGTGCCGTACGTTTCTGCGGCACGTCCCGCCTGCCACCGTGCCAGCCCAGCATTCTGGGTGGCGACTGTTCGAGGGTGGGGGAGCCGTGATGAGGATGATTCTGTTTATAGTTATGGTTATGATTATGCCTATGATTATGATCATGAGTCTGATTGGGATTATGTTTATGATTTTGATTATGATTATGATTCCGGTAATGTTCAAGATCACATGCTGATTCTGCTAATCATCATGATGATGCTGCTGCTGCTGCTGATGATGATGATGATGATGATGATGGTAGTGGTGATGGTGTCGGTGGTGTCGGTTGTGATGATAATGATGTCGATGATGATGACGAGGATGAGGGTGATGACGATGATGCTAATGATAATGCTGCTGTTGATGATGGTGATTCTGCTGATGCTGCTGCTGATTATGATGATGCATATTATGATTATGATGTTGATGATGCTCACGATGATGTTCATTATGATGATGCGATTATGATTCTGAGTATGTTTATGACAATGATGATCCTGATGATGCTGATGATGACGATGATGTTGATGATGATGATTCTGATGTTGATGGTGATTGTGGTGATTGTGGTGATGGTGGTGTTGCTGTTGATGATTGTGATGGTGGTGATGGTGCTGATGAAGATGAGGACGACGACGAGGAGGAGGAAAAGGAGGATGAGGAGGAGGAGGACGAGGACGAGGACGAGGATAAGGAGGAGGAGGAAGAGGTGGAGGAGGAGGAAGAGGCGGAGCAAGAAGGATACCGTCACACGTGGTACCTTTCGTCTTCACTTGTTGAGGAGCTCTTATGGACCTCGTTTGGGCCGTCTTGGGGCTTTCTTGGCATCCCGCGAGGAAGTCTTGGGGGTCCTTTGGGGTCTTGTTGGGCCGTTTGGGGCTTTCTTACGCCGTCTTGGTGCTCTCTTGAGCCGTTTTGGGGCCGTCTTGGCTGTACTGCCGTTGGCTGGGGGCCGTTTTGGGCCGTCGAAAGGCCTTCTAAGGCCATCTTGGGTCCCACGGGAGGCCCTCTTGGGCCGTCTTGGGGCCATCTTGAATGCTTCTTGGACCATCGTGGGACCTGTTGGGCCATATTGGGGCCCTCTGGGTGTGCACCAACAGATCTGTAATGCGAACTCGCGCTGGATCATAGGGAAATCAAGGCGTGCGGCTTCTTCGGGCCTGTTGGAGGTAAGTTCACGGCATTGTTGGACCCTTTTGGAGGCATCTTGCGCTGTCTTGAGGGCATACGTGGCCGCCTTGGGGCCACTCTAAAGCGAGCTGAGGGACGTAAGGATCGGAAGTGAGCGTGCGCCCGCGGCCGCGTCGGCTCAAGCGCCCGGCCGCCCAAATATGATTGTGCCTCACCGCGAGGCACACAATCGCTATCGAGACCAAAAAGATCTTCCTATTGCTAAAGATGGGACAAGTTACCCACGTCCAATCGCATGAAGATCAACCCAGCATATCATCCTCAGATTGACGGCGGGTCTGATCGATACATGGTGGTGAAGTGCGACCTTATGGACACCGCCATCCATCACGGCAAGGACGCACATGCGCGCCAGTTGGTGCGTAGTATTCTGCGTAAATGCCCAGCACTCACACACCATTCGGAGAAGGACGATTTGCTTTGGATCCTCAAAGCAGAAAGTATCAGGAGGCCAAGGTTCAGTTAGGAGGAGCAACGTCAATGCTCAGAGTGGCTTGCGACTGCTCTTCGCCACAAACCTTTGACAGGTTCCTGCGGGAAGTACCATCCTTTGATGAAATGGATTGGCCAGCTAAAGGATATGAGAACTATCAGCACAAGCGCCTGGGAACTGCGCGCCAGAAGCTGAAGAGCCACCACTGGGCATGCCAGGCTTTAGCTGTGCTGGACCTGATTGGCATGGTCGACCATGCTGGAATGCAGAAAACAGGCTGCACCTCAAGCAGTGCAAGGACGCCTCCGAGTCACGCGAGACGTACTTCATCCGTCCAAGTACGGACATAGCAGCCCTGGGATAAAGTGCCCTGAATCATTGTATATGAGAATTACGGATTTGACTGTGCCAGGTGCACCTTGTTATTTTATTCATGGTACTCAGTGGGAAGATACCCTCAGTATACTTAGCGTTGGACTGTCATGTCGCGCCGACGACACCAGCAAGAAAAGGGGCAGACAGTTTGTACATGGTTGCCCATACCTTCCTGATGATAGTAGAATCCAGTCCGGCCTGCGCGTTGACTCCTCCGAGGTGTTGGTCATGGTTAGCTTGAAGAACCTGCTTCGGGACAACATGCCGATTCGGAGCAAATGACATCATAAAGTCAGCAGGCCGTCACGGCAGAATTCCCCCGACCCATATCGTTCAGCTCATAGGTCTTCTGCCCGACGACTATTGCAGGTGCGACCGTGTGGGACATATATGGATCAATCCCTTGTATCTGCGAGATAGCAATCTTTCGTATCCAGGTGGTAATATTTCTATCGAACAGACGTACGAGCACCAGAATGACACATCATCTTTGAGAGATTGGTTTATTCCAGAGACCCCCTACAACTTGAAGTGTCCCGAGCCGACTCCCATTCAGGAAGTCGAGTTCTCAGCCGCGTTCATGATCCAGGACGCGTATCAAGCGGGGGCACCTGCAGGGGGATCTGATGGATCTAGGTTACTGGCTCAAAGTGCGGACGCGACAGGTATTATTTCAAGTGGCATCATGCCCACTGACACGCTATACGCCAACCCGTGGCGCGCCCAGGTGCAGCAGCTGCCAGTGCCCGCAGGGCAACCTGCTTCATTTGCGCCGATGAGCAGAGCCACAACTCCATTTGCCATTTGGTACCCCACAGAGTGCTGGGAGCACCAACAGCCTACAGGCGAGGCTCCAAAGCATTCAAATGGACCCGCAGCTTTATCAGGCTTTACAGGCGACATCGCCATTAGCATCGCCGCGTCCACATGCGGGGCAACCTGCTTTTTCCTGACCACCATGCTGTGCAGAGAACCGAGAGTTTGGTCGGTCAGCAAGAATGGATGCACCGGCAGATGCGTGAAGCCGCTCAGAGTGTGCGTAGGGGCGGCATTGACTTCCCTAGCCCCAACTGGACGCCGCCTTGGGAGTATGTTCCGAATCCAAATCCATCACCGGACAACCCCAATCTGTTTGGAGACGTGCCAGCATTTTTCAGTCATCCGACATATGATCCAACGGCTGCAGAACGCCCCACAGCAGCACCAATGGACTACCCACTATATCCTGATTATCACGCTCAGGTAAGTGGCACTCCTCGAGTGGGGACAGCCCGAAAACCCGTATGTACGGGCGACGGCCGACGCCTTCTACCAGTCTCTGCTGACGCGTGGCTCGGGTTGTGCATCAGTTGGGCCAGGCCAGATTCCTCGCTGCGGATATTTGGCCGCCCCCATGGACCCAGATGTGCAGCAACGGGCCCCAGGCCTAGTCGTGCCATCGTCCATGGGGGGGCTGCGCCCTGAGATCCTAGCCGTCCATGAGGCGCAGCAGGCCAAAGTGGCGATGCAGTCTGCCCGCCAGCGTCGCAAACAGGGGCGTCAGGTAGCAGGATGCTGAGCAGTGCGGGGCAACCTGCTATTTCCAATACAGCGGGGACACCTGCGATCAGTCCAGCAGTGCTTGCAGCAATGCAGCCACCGACGGTTTTACCGATTCGATCTGAAGCTGGTGAGACCACTCTGGAGTGCCAGGCGCGTATCAGGCCATCGGCAACACCGCCCATCATCAGCGACGGCAACTTCAACAAGTGTGTCATATGCCTGGGCCATTTCATGAACCACGATAAAGTCTGGAGGCTCCAGCGTGGCCACATATTTCACGCACAGTGCTGGGATCGAGTTGCACGTGCCCATGTGGATAAAGAGTTGGCTGGGAACATGGAAGGTTCCGCAACTGAGGCCCCCTGCGCCATATGCAGGGGCGTTGGCTTAATCACAGCTGCGTTCCACTACGCCCTCGCTGGAGAGCAGGAGTCACTGGGCTGTCATGAAGATATACTCCGAGGGGCGAACGAACTGAGGGACCTCCGTGAAGAGCTCAACTGCGTCACGGCGATGATGACGAGCAATGCGGCAGCCCCAACAACGACACCAGTGGGGCATCCTGCATCATCGGCCAACGCGGGGCTAGTGACGGAGGTCACCACGCCTGCAGGGACAGCTGCTGTAGACACGCCTATGCTACTGATAGCAGACACCGCTAACAATGCAGGGGCACCTGCTGCATCAGCACCACCTGATGTGCCGGTCAATGATGCGTGGTTGAGGCGTATGGAGAGGGCTACTGATAGGGGCGCTCAGTGGCTTCAGTCTCCACATGCGCAC